GCGGGGTAGGCAGAGCTCTCCTCCGGATCGGGGACGAGGAATCGGACGAAAACTTCCCGATAAGGTGTGGGCATGTTATCGGTCGTAAGTCATATGAACGAAGTCCATTAGATTTTCTCCGATTCGGATAATCTAATTTCTGAAGTGGAGATCGGCTCATTATTCGATGAGAAAGGTTCCAAATTTCACCGAAAAGAACCCCGCCCCGCCAGAAAGCCTTGGACCTTGAGTGATATCGCAACCCCGGTACATCCGCACATCCGCGTTGACGTCCGACCTCGTTTCGCATGGTGGTGGGGAGCCATCTCTCTCTCTGCATCACTTGCTGCAGGAGTGCAGGTCGAGAACACATGCGACTTAAGAAGGCGGCATCCGAATATCCAGCTAGACTGGTTCGAATCTCGAGCTCACATCGTTTCGTGTCCGAGAACGCACATCGACACTCCCATCGTCAGCACAATGTTCGACTTTGAGACAATCGGGACCTATGCCTACAGCCATCTGGAAGTTCTCGGCTCCCAAATCGCACAGATCATGGAGTTGTGCGAGGGTCGAGCCCCGGTGAATGGCGTGCTCGAACATTTCAGGAAGTCGCTGCGCCTGATGCCGCAAACGTGCCCTTCGATCGTGCGGAGATATCCGGTGCCGATTTTCTGCGACGACAGGGAACTTGACGCGCTGGAGGCGCAAGTGCGAGACGGCGATTACGTTGAGTTCATCGTCCAATGTTGCTCAATCGCCGAGGCCTACTTGAGCTTGAAGAGCTCGTTCCCCGCCTACTTGACGGACTATGGCGGCGCATCGTGGGTCTTCCAGTACGCTCGAACACTCGGGGAAGTCGCCACTCTCCGACATCGCCTCAGCTTCAAGTCACGATCGCTGGCATTGAGCATAGTTCTGGAGAACTTCGCAATGAACGCCGTGATCCGGTGCACAAGATCCAGCGTGCCGAAATGGCAAGAAGTTCTCATGTTCTGCAGAGTGGCCGATTCCCACGAAATCCAGAGCACGCTCGTCAGACTGGGCCCCAGCGTCAAAGCGACCCAGAGCGAGATCCCAAGAGCCGCCCTCTGCCTTCTGCTCAGTAGTATCGCCGCGCATACCGACGGAGGCCACTTCGGATTCTCTTTTCCGGAGTTCCGGACGGTCATCCTGGAGCTCGTGTCCCTTGGAGGCTCGCTTTTGACCTCCAAAGACGATCATCCGATACTCTGCCGGATGCTGAAGGCGGAACTGGGGCTCGATGAAGCGCCGTGGTGGTTGACGGATCTGGAGAAGACGGATGGCTCGGAACCAACGGCTCTATCCAGGCTGATGGGAATCCGTTGGAACGCCAAGGAACGCGAGGAGCTCCGGCGCCATGTCTGCTGCAGCCTGGACGCGGGTGGCCAGAGGAAGAGGTCCCTCAATGCGGGCTGCGTCGGCTTGCAGTGTCTCGCTGCGCAGAAGCTGCGCACGTCGCAACGCGACCTTCTGCCGAAGACTCTCAAATTTAGAGCTTCGAAGCATTTCCCCCCATATGCAGGCAAGACCCACGGGATGCAGCCCCCAGGCGATGAATAGGTAGTTAGGTAGTTTGTTTGTTTGTTTGAAAAGCATCCATTTAGGAATAAATTGTTGAGAAGATTCATAGGTATTTTGATGGAATTTTTGGAAGATGTCGTGAAAATAAAAAAGTGATGATTCTGCCTAAATCATAGTCTCCAGCTGACACCGCCATTCGGGGTTCCCCCGTCTGGTTGATGTAGTTACGATGCCGCTGTACCGTCGCTCGTTCAGGAGGTGGCCAGGGTTCGATCCCTGCTGCCGGCAGAATATTCCTCACCGAGGCGCCGCTGGTCGGCCTTGATCTGCCCGGGCGCACATGCTCTCTGGATCCGCCCTAGGGAGAAATGTGAAAAACAGTGCCCGACTCGTAGGACGACGCTGCGCCGGCGCTAGCTTAGCGCTCATGGTTTGGATTTTGAGCGCTCTCATACCTCTTAATTATCTTTGAGCAAGACATGCGGCTCGGTACTCGCAAATCATTTTGGGGCGAGTTAGCTCACTGGGATCGTTTCGCAGAGAGCGCCCTGATCCGAACGAGCACAACGCCTTGATTTCTGCGCTGAGATCCTGATGATGCGACGGGTTGGGCTTGAGAATTCAGAGCACCGCTGACGATGGTGCTCACCAACAAACTTCGCGCCTTCAGAGGCACCGGTGGATCCGGTGAGTGGGAGGAAAGGGGGGTCACACGTAGCCCGCTGCCAGGATGCGAATGGACTCGGTCGTAGATCCTCGCCCCTTCGGAGCATCGACCATGGCATGCCAGTTTCCGAAAGAGCCGTGGTTCCGCTTCTTCTCAGGGTAGTGGTTCCACGTACGGCATTATGGTTCCATCGACTCGGGGGACTTCGCGGCGCATCGATCACCCTTGTTTCTCTGATGATCGAATCCGACGCCCCCGCTCGAGATATCCCGAATAGCAAAAAGGGGGCTTCCGGAGCGGTCTTCGACTCGCTCAAGATTTGGACTCTTACCCCCCATGTGAATCCTATTCCCTGCGGAGGATCATGAATACGCGTAGGTACAACCACCAATAGCCAAGCTTTGAGTAGTAGATGCGGGACGAGATTGCATCTACTAGGCATGAAGCTGACCGCTTGCTCAATATCCCGGAAAGTCTATTTGTATGCTCGAATGCCTCGACGTCACACTGATGGATAGAGTCGACTTCCTGCAGATTTTTTTTTCGCAGAAAAATGTATTGGTAGTAGCATTGATAGGTGACTTGAACTCCATGGGAACCTCGACGTGCGATTCGACCATCGAGCCGCCGGCCGATCTCGACGAGCTCCGGGTCGACCGGAAGCTCTCGGGTCGCGCCGCGAGCTGAAGTCTCTGAGGGACGCATTCTCTTCGGTTCTCTTCGACCTACTGACAACCGACATTTTTTCTGGGGGACTCGAATTTTCGAAACTGCCTCCTTGCGGCCTCTAGTGGCGTCGCATCGCAAATCGCGATAAGGCTTGAGCAGGCAGCTCCATTGTTCGCAAACGCGGTCGAATAGCACTTCCCTCGAGGGAAACGAAGAAATTCGCAACGAGGAGCCGGAGACATCGATATTCGAAGATGAAATGGAAAACATTTCCGGGATGATAAATAGATGCCATGAACTCGGGGAGAACGAATTCATGGAGCGAATGGATAGAAAGTTCGCTTGTATCGAGAATATCTCGTTATCGAAATCTGGCGAGCCAGGCGCAGCGTGTCTGTTCCTTGATGATGCAGCCGACGATTCGAGAGAGGGCACCCCTGCACCCCAAGGCTATTGAAGATCATGTTGGCTATCAATGGATGACGGAGTCAGGGTCGAGTATCTTGGATTCGGGTATCCGAGATTCGATATCGGTCGCGAGGATCGTGGCAGTGCCTACCACCACCCATCTCGGTCTTCGATTCGGCGTGCTTCCCCTCCCCCCATGTTTGAGAGATGACTTCTCGAGCGAAAACAGGACGAGAACCTCAGGCTGGTCCTCTCGTGTCACGTCATGGCGAGATCCGAATTTTCGGAAGAGTCCGAATACGGGACCTCAGGTGTCTTGCTCCAGCAACTCGAGCAGGTCTTCGAACCGAAGGCCGGACGTGTCCCCGAGCACGGTAGGATTGACTATTCGAGACTGTCACTACCGATCAGAGCACTGATATGCTCTTCGATCACGAAGCGGTCTCCGTTGCCGATTTCCACGGACGTGGGTCAGATCGAAGAGGTGGAGGCACAAATCTGATCAGGCGACTTCGAGGAGTCCATCATTCAGTCCTGCTCGATCACCGAAGCCTACCTGAACTCAGATGTCGCCTGCCCCTCTATATAGCGGGCGAAGGGCGCTCAACGTGGATTTTCAGCTTCGTTCGGACCGTGAGAGAAGTCGCGACCCCACTGCATCGCCTCGACTCCAAGTTCAAAACGAGTAAATGGGCAGCGGTCTTTTACGGCTTCACGATGGAAGCCTTGGTCAAATGCTCGTTACTTAGAGTGCCGAGTTGCAAAGTCTGCCATCTACTCAGCTATATTATTGAGCTAACGAAGAGAACACCAAACGAGTTCTCGAATTCTGTGAGTCGGGCGCTGCTTTTCAGGAGCGTCATTTTTGGAGCTTCGCTCGGAATTTCGGGAGCCGATCATCCCGAGTTTGCCGGGCACTGATGGCGGAACTGGGCATGGAAAAAGCGCCCTGTTGGCTGACGGAAGCAGTAACCAGCGGTCCCGCGCCCACGGTTCTCGCAAGGATAGCGATCCGGTGGAGCGCTGAGGACCGCTGAGAATTGCGGCGACACACTTGCTGCGCTCTCGATATGAACGGCTGGAGGGAGAGGGCGTTCCGATTCAAGAGCGTCACACTTTGCAGTGTCTGGCATCGCGACAAGTGCAAAACTCACAGCCGTGGCTGCCGCTGATTATTATCAGTACGAGACGGGGAGTCGACACCCAATCGTTCTTAGAGTCGGATCTCGGTCTTTCGCCGATCAGAGCACTGGTATGCTGTTAGAACGCGGAGCTGTATCGGCTGCCGATCTTCAACGATGTGGGTCAGTTAGAACAGCGACAGAAAGAGTCCCGGAAAAAAAGTTTTTTTTTCGTTATCCAGGCCGTGGAGAGACCGAAACGCTGTGGATGAGTTTGTCAATAATGCAGAGGGCGACTGTGCCCCGGTTTGTATTCTATACATGAATAATTCCTCTCAAGTCTATTGGGGCAGTCGCGATACGTTCCTTGACTCGATTTCATCCGGAGTACCGCATCCTCGTCGATCAGATGGGAAACGTCAGGCTTATTCGGAGCAACGGCGGTTACCGTGTCATCTTATCAGTTTTGACACCGGGATGAATGGGGAGCCTAGGGAAGCCCTCGATTCCCCCTGTTTTTGGTTCTTTCAACTGATCAGAAGAGTGTCGCGTGAGCACCGATTCTTCGCGCTGCTCGAAGAAATATTCAGATGTCGTTTCAACGCAACAGTTTATTCTAGCTTCCGTTTACCGCTAGTTCCCCTTTGCTGCATTTTCATGCGTTTAGCTTCGTTCTGTTGGAGTACTTTACATATGTGTCTTTTGACCTGTCTCTGCTTTACAAGTCGTTTGAGCTCTTGAGCTTCCATGGTCCGCTTATGCTGTCTCACCCTATCCTCCATCTCCTTCCGCAACTTCAGCTGCTTTTCCTGGTGGACAGTCTTTATCATGTTGAAAACTTTCCCGACTTGCTGTTCTTTCTCGTCCGGTATTATAGCGACTCTCTGGAGCGCGTTCCCGCCTTCCACCATCGTTTCCGTCTTCGGTTTCTCCTTGTAGGGAAGAGCGGCTTGGAGACTCTTCGGAACCCGCACAGGCTTATGGAAATATTCTCGCCGTTCAGCACCCTGAAAGGCGAAATGATATTCAATCGCGGGACCAATCAATCTCTCGCCGTATTCGTTGAATGGAGGATTCTATTTTGAGAACCTGAAAATTGAGGAATCACAAAAAAATCAATCAGATCGACTTACGGTGTAGAGCGAATCCTGATTCATCGGTGCTTTGAGGCCTCGTTCTGCTCGCAATTGACCGACGGTCTTCATTCCTTTCCACTGGTCCTTCTGATCAATTGGCAAGAGGAGTGTCGTCACATTGACGCAGAACTTCGGCACCGGTACGGTGTACCACGTTCTGAGGAACACTATGTCCGACTTAAGAATCTTATCCTCGAACGCAGCGCGGAACGCCCCCGCGGGAGTCTTGATCGGTTTCTTGATCTGCCCCCGGATCCCGGAGACCGTCCGCAGAGCTCCACCTTCGAACTTCGTAACTTCGAGGACACTGTTGAACATTCCCTCTATGAAAGCGGTTTTGTTTTTCACTTGCGTGGGCGTGCCGGTGAGTTTTAGTTTCTTCACTATCTGAGTCGTCTTATCGATCTCGATCACGACTCCAGCCGCGCATATTCTGAAATCTGATTTCTCCTGAACGGAACTCTGGATCGCGATGAAACCCGAATTCTGAGGAGTGATCGGTCCCCAGAACGCAGCATTACAGTGCATGTGCATCGGGGTATATTTGAGGAATCTCTGTCGCATATTGTGGTCGACCGTGAAGAATAACGGAGTCGTCTGGAATCTCCTCCAACCGAGCGACATGATCATCGGATCGGCGCTTTTCAGCAGTTTCTTAAACCATCGATGTTTCTTCATGCGGACCTGGACGTATCCCATCCGGTTCTCTGCGGTATTCAGACCTCCGAGTATCACAGGGTACGAGGCATCGAAATTCTGTATGAACTCGCAAGGCATTTTCCGGAGCTCCACACGGACATATAAGCCCGGTCTGAAGCCCTCGTAGAGCACTCGTCGTTCATCGTCCAAATCAGCGAACTCGCTTTTGTTGAGCTGGAAGCGAAGTTCCGTTCAGAAACCTGAATCGAACCAGGAGGCTCGGCAAAAAGCCGGAACTGGGATTCTTCGGACCCGAGAGACGAGGGATTATTCGACCCACCTGAGATTGCTGATTCATTTCCTCCTTCATCTCGTCGTATAATGTCTTCTCTTCGCCTTTTTCATCGTAGTCCTGATCGAACATCGCTTTCAAACGTTTTTTCTTCTCGATTCTATTGAAGATCGAGAACGAATAGAATTAATATCGATCTTTTGAACCTGGAGGGAGAATGCGGTTTTGAGCATTCGCGAGGATTAAGGGATGTTGAACCTTTTTTCTTCGATTTGTTTTATCCTCTCTTCTCGGGTGGTGGCTTTCTTCTGTGGTTTGTGCTCTTCTGCATCTTCTTGCTCTTTTCCGGCCTGCTCTTCTTCCTTCAGCTCTTTTTCGAGATCTTCAAAGTCCCCGAAAATTTCGTCATCGTTGTCTTCTTTGTTACGAGCCAGAAGCTGTTCTGCGTCTTCGTCCTTGCCCCACTTGCCGGTGACGAAACAATCTCGGATCGCCTCACACATCTGAAATGGAGGAAATCCCACGTTCGCTCTATTCTATCATTATGACATGAATCATGGACAGAATCACGGGATATTCTTCACAAGCGGAGCTCGCTCCGTAAGGCTGGACTAACCTCGTCGAAATCAAGCTCCTCGTTCGTGGCATGGAACCGCGTGTTCTCTGGGGCGTTCAGGTCTTTCTTCACTTGAGCCTTCCGTTCGGATTTCTTGGCTTTGATGAACAGCCCACCGAGAATCTCTTCGTTCTCATCGTGCTCCGCTTCTGGCTCGGCTTCGACCGCGTTGACTGCATATCAGCGTAATTATTATTCGTTCAAAAGCTCATGGAGCTTCTCGCCATGGCTGACATTGAATAAATCCCTCGAGAGTCATATACAGAAAGGTTTTCAGGGAAATCTCTCACTAACCATCGCCGTAGACGAGAAACTGCCAATTTCCGAGTTTTTTGTGCGCGCCGCGTAACCATCCGCAAGTCTCTTCATCATGGCATCTCTAGCGCTCAGAGGCCCTCCATCCTCGTCTTCTGGAAGTTGAGCAACAATCTTGGAAACTCGCACGCATCTTTTTTTGCATATTCCCCACGACTCACTCAGACATTATTGAGGAACTGATTCTGATCGAGACCCACCGGATTCGGAGTCGTCGTCCTCAGGTTCGGCCATCTCAATTTCTTCCGTCGGGATGACGGCTTTCCCATCGAGCAATTCGTCCTCGCTTTCTGAGCATTCATCCCCAGATTCATCATTGTCCTCATCCTCGTCTCCGTCTTCGCTGTCCACGTCATCGTCGTCATCGTCCTCCATATCGGGGATGGCGCGATCGAACGTGACCGCGGGTCTCCGCACTCGACTCGCCGTCAATCTGCGGAATGGAGCGTCGCTATACATTCCTGGGTCTCTCCGAAAAATTATTTTCTCGATCAGAAATCAAGCTGGAGGCTCAGGAGCTTCCCAGATGTACATATCTCTAGCCAACACCCACTGAGAACATTAGTTTTGTCCGATTGTCCCACTCTATCACTCACTCTTCGGTCTGATCCTCGTCGAACGGTCGAGTTCCGGAAAGCAGAGTAAAATCCGTTTTGTTGATTTTCTCGTCGAGAGGCACCTTGATCTGCAAGAGCCCTCCCAAAAGTTCGTCCTCTTCGCCAGCGTCTTCTCGCTGGTGTGAATGGCTCCCCTTGAGATCGATGTACACCGCGTCCTTGTCGAAGACAACGCCCCCAACCCCCGACATCGGCGCATAAATCAGTTTCTCTTTATCGTCCAATGATCGCTTCTTGAGTTTCTCAGGCAGAGGACAAGGGTCCGGCAAGAAAGAGACATCATGGGCTGTATAATCCCCACAACCTGAAAACAAGTCCAATTCCCTTCAGAAAGTCCCGTGAGCTCAGGTCTGGTCTGGGATTCGACTCAATTAGGGCACAGGACAAAGTGAGCCCAGTCACTCATCGTCTCTCATTTCTGAGCTCACCTGGTATATGGATCAAGTGGTTTTGTTTCAGATGAGCCCCCCGGCAATATCCATAGACGCACACCGTTCGATCGGTTTTCGGATTCTGCCGGACAAGCTCCTGATTCGTCACATCTTCGATGCGATCTACGAGCACGTACGGATGACTGGTTCTCCAGTCGAGTGGTCGGAATTTCATGGTGGAAATGAAGCGACCCAGGTTGTGCACCTCGTGCTTAAGGTAATCGCCACGAACCAAGCCTGAGGGGGGATTATGGAATCGAAATAAATATCGAATCTTTGCGATATTCTCGATTTCGAAGCGCCTACGGTTTCGACGACATACCTGAGAGGTAGAATACTTTTGCGCCCTGATAGATCTCGGTCCAGAACCTATGCTTCATTTGTTTCTTTGTGTTCCGCAGTGTTTTATGGTTTTTGAATTGGTCCAGATGCGTCAGGACTCCCATGATTCGCGGGAAACCGTGGTGTTGGCATATGTTGAGGAACTCGAAGGTTTCCATCTCGAATCCGTAAGATGCGTCGACTAGGAGAAGAACTAGGTCCGCAACCTTAGCCGTGTCTATCATCGAGTTTATATCGTTGTTGCATTCCATTAGCGTCAGACGCCGTTTCTTTCCAGACACGACGGTAACCTGAAAATCATGAGCTTTTGAGACCAGATGGGAGGAAAATGAATCCATGAATTTGATCTCATTCTTGCTTGAGTTGACGTGATTAGGAAAGAATGGGTTTCGACGCTCACGGGACCGTTGATGTTGTGGACGATCTGACGAGTGTAATTCCGTATGAGACCTTTCATCAAGGTGCTCTTGCCGACCTTAGGGGGTCCCATGATCGAAATGACGAACGGTGGAGGTTCGACCGGTGTTCTGTCGACCATGGGCACGTGATGACGTTTCTCTTGAAGATCTTTCTTCCGCCGGAACATTTTCTCCGCTTTGACGGCCGATTGGAAGGCGAAAGCCTTCGGGTTGCTCGACTTCCCATGTTTGCCTGTCTTGGCTTTTTTCTTTTCAGCTTTGCGACCGGATTGTCTCGCAACATGTTTCTTCTGTTGGGGTTCGCTGTCCGCCATGTCTCACCTTCAAAAAGCAACACATGGAATTATCGGCTTGCTGAATCACAACGTATTGACGATTCCGATTTCCCACGGGGGAACTACATGAGCGTTTTGATTGGGAGACAACGCGTGCGAGAGCTTTCACTATCGGCGTTTTAGACGTCCACCGGGAATATTGGGACAGAGATTGGAAACATTCGCGCTGAATACGGCCCGCACGTCCCGGAAATTCGAGTCTCTGTCAGAGTTGAAGAACAGGGAGCCACGGCTCAGATACGCGATTTAGGAGCTAGCCACCCTGGAAATAATCGCGGACGGGAAGCTTCCCTCCGTTTCTCCGGAGAGCCAGCACGTGTTCATCTTGTTTTGATCAGCGCGGAAAGAGGCTCCTCCGCCGGATCCGTCACAGTTTCCATACGCCACAAGGAAGTAAAGCTCACCTTCGGTGCGTTGCCGGCAGGGGCAGGAATATCTCGGAGCCCAAACACTATGCTTTCCACAGAACTTTACAGATCTACATTCGACACTGAAATTCGAACGAAAGTCCCGAACGAACACTCAGCGGGTCTTCATCATCTCCACAGTACACAGCGTGCTTCCGAGGCTTAAGCCTTGGACTTTTGTTATCTGGTTCAACGCTTCGAGCCTTTCGGAACTGATAGGTGCTACTGGTATGCCAAGCATCTCTCGGACTTGAGAAGAATTTCAAATGGAGTTCTGAGGCGGTGAACGACATTTCGTTTCTTATGAGAATCGAAGGACTAGCTTTATTTACACCGGAGTCGATTCCGCACCCTCCAAAGCGTCGGACCGGGTTAGTCTGTAGTGAGTCGGCGAAATAGACACATCAGAATCCGGGCTCGACACCAAGTCTCCGAAAGAAAGTGGAAATGTCAGAACAGGTGTGCAGTTATCTCACGAAGAAAAAAGGGAGCTGCACCCCCGAGCTCTCAGCGAAATGGGCTCTCTTAGAGGATCTCTATATCAAGAAGCTCTGGCATCAACTGACCGTCGAACTCCTGAGTTTTGTCAAAGTGAGTGGTCAATCATATCCAGCTCTCCGTCACGCCACCCAGCCTACTGTCACGAATAGGAGGTGGATCGAGCCTCGCGATCAGGAGACTTGCATAGGCTGTGGTCGAGTGTTTCAGTCGATCCTGCTCTGCTCAAGATCGCAGACGTCAGCTGCTGGACCGGCCGTTGGCCGTATTGACTTCGATGCTTCCCCATTAATCTCGATCGTTTTCTCCAGGAACCTAGTCTTCAAAGCGACGGTCAACTCATCGACCTGTACCAGAACTTCATCAGCGACTTTGAAAACAAGATGAATCTGCTTTCGCTCGTCGAAATTATCGCTCATGTCGTCGTGCAGATGACCGATCACGAGTACTGCATGTCGTGTCTGGAGAAAACGAGGGAAAAAGTCAAGGTGCGAATCCCTGCCCGGAACTCTCGGTTCTCTTCTCTGATTTCGGTTCTCTCCTCCTATTTCTCGATCGTACATTCGGCAATGTTTATCTCGTCTGATCCTTGTAGGGTAACCCAAAAGCGGTGATCCTCTGCAACATCCTCATGGGGCAGAAGCTGAGGGAGAAAAAAGACATGGACGGCGTGAAGAAGCTCATCGAAGAGACCGAACAGATGGTTGACTCTCTCGGGGCCGTAACCGAAGTTCATGCGCGGTTCTATCAGCTGACGTCAGAATTCTACAAAGTCTCGGCCGACTACGCGAACTATTATCTCCACGCCCTTCGCTACCTCGGATGCACCAATATCGAGCAGGTCCCGATTGAGGAGCGTCGAGAGAAATGTTTCACCTTGGCATTGGCTGCCCTTCTTGGGGACAACGTCTATAATTTCGGAGAACTCCTGAGCCACCCGATCGTCAGCAGTTTAGACGGCACCCCTCAGGCCTGGGTGATCGAGCTCCTCCGAGCCTTCAATCACGGTGATCTCAAGAAGTACGAGGAACTCAGGCCTCGGTGGACGGAACAGCAGGATCTGCAGGCGAACGAGCTCACCCTCAAACGTAAGATGTGTCTACTGTGCCTGATGGAGATGACGTTCAACAAAGCTACGAACCAGCGAGTTCTGTCGTTCCAAGAGGTGTCGGACAAAACCACGCTACCGATCGGTGAAGTCGAGGTATTGATGATGAAAGCTCTGTCCCTTGGACTCGTCAAAGGTATGTGTCACTTGCTCCCTTTTGACTTCCACGCGCTCGTCGGGGGGAATCCCTGCAAATTCTCCATGCAGAACCGTCTCATTCACTGATCTTTTACATTCCTCAGGCACCATCGACCAGGTCGATCAGAAGATCACCATGACCTGGGTCCAACCGAGAGTTCTCGACAAAGAGCAGATTTCTCAGATGAGAACACGTCTCGATACGTGGTGCCAAGACGTTTCGGATATGACACTCCTTCTGAGCCAGAAAGCCCATGACATTCTGACTGTGTGAAAACTGCGAGTCTTTTTCTTACATACGGAATGCTAACTGAAAACCAATAGCACATATGAATATATAAAGTCAGAAGGAATCACGTCAGAACCGAACATTCATTGGAATAATCATAACTAGAGCAATCGATCTCAGCGGAAAAAGTTCGAAATAAGTGGGGCGGAAGTCTCTCTCGAGCTTTTCATACCTAGGTTAGTAAACATCGATCGATTGGAAAATCATTGTGACGGGGAAATTCGGACGCGGCGGGCTCGGGAAAAACGAGTAAGATAGCTGGCTCACCCAAGGCTTCTCGATTTTCGGTCCGGTTTCTCTTCCCCGAAAGTTTTCGGTGAGTAGCGCCGTCCCCTCACATTTCCTACGAGTCGTCGGTGCGTAATACCCCGAAACGGCGAGTCGAGACCCCCGAAGCGAGGTTGGACTTCCATATAGGGGATCGATAAGATTCCGAGGTATCCTCCGTCGGGGAATCATGATTTTCCCGTGGGAAGAGGCCAGGGAAGCTCGCGGACCCGATTGCTCCCGAATGGTCTTTCAAGGGATATTGGAGCGTGCCAAGAGGAGCTTCAATTATCGCCCAGCAGAAAATGTGGAGAGAGATCCAAATTAGGAGCGGTCTGCTTTCATCGTTGCACAGTTCCGTCTCGGAATGACCAAGATTCTTTGACGTCATTTCTCGCATATCTGTTGAGGTGCGCGCCCGAAAAATCAACATCCCGATCGACAGGAACCTACGAATAGGCCGCGACGATTGGAATCGATGATCGAGACCCCTGCCGATTTCCTCCCGTCGGTCTCGATTAGATGCGGCAAAAAGATCAGGAACTCTGGATTTCCGTTCACATGGATTTTTCAGAATTCCCTCCATCAGGACTCGGGGAGAGCTTCCCATCTCCTCCTTGAGAGGACTGAAAAAACACTAAAACGGATAATTATACACGCTTTGTGGTGATCTTCCGAGTTCCAACAATTTCGGACCGGATTCGTGACACTGAGATATATACACATAGGAATAGGTCGACTAATCCGTGCGGAACGAAATCGACGCCAGGAAGACGGGAGAAACCATCTCCATTGGATAATTGAGGCAGCCCGACCATTGAAGCCATTTTCACGTTTTTCCTGTCAGCGACCCTAAATGATACAACCCGGAAAACCGTCTCGTTTTTGTTCCCGTGGTCAGCCGAGAAGAACAGACGACTTAGTCCCAATTTTCTTCCTCCTCGGTCATCCTATTCGACGACAATCTTCTTTCAACTTTCCCCATTCATCCCTGGGCGAATCAGTTTGTCCAAAGTCGTGGACTCTTGTGACTCTCATGAAGACTGTCTCCCCTCGGTCGGGCGCCGCGAAACTGCTCCTCACTCCTGAGTGGGTCTCAGCCGCCTGCCCTTCGAGAGGTTCTGGTATTTCAAACTGAGACGGTCGTCACAATACCTCGAATCTCTGTGGTATTCGGAGTTCCAGCTTCTCTCGATCCTCCGATCATGGATTTGATGTGGATGTTCCCTCGAGAAGAGCGGCTCGGGGGTGTGCTCTTCGATTATCCGTCGTCGATAGTCGCACTTGTGCTGCTCTATCTCTGGTTTGTTCTACTGGCCGGTCCTAGGTGGATGGCGAATCGTGAGCCCTTGCGTCTGAAGACCGCAACCCGCTGCTTTAATCTCTTCCAAGTGGTGGCCAACATCTGGTACTCCTACACCACAACATCCCTCGCCGTGCGGAACTACCACACCGGCCGTTTTTCCCTCGGATGTAACCCGCCCAGCATCGGATTGGCTCCCCTGGCCGACCCCTGGGACAACTTTCTTATTCTCATCATGTGCCATGTGTACTTCAGGGTTCGGATTCTGGATTTTCTCGACACAGTGTTCTTCGTCCTGTCGAAAAAACAATCGCACGTGTCGTTCCTTCACGTCTATCACCACGTGGTGGTGGTCGTGACAGCCTACGTGTACCTCCGATCTGGTTGGGCTCCTTGTATATACTATGCGTCGCTTTTGAACTCCATGGTCCACGTGGTGATGTACTCGTATTATTTCCTCTCGACTTTCCCCAGCATGAGACCGTACCTCTGGTGGAAGAAGTACCTCACGGTAGTGCAGATATCGCAGTTCGCGATCCTTTTGCTGCAAATTGTATATATCTCAATCTATAATTGTGGATACCCTCCGATAGTGTGCCAGTATAATATCGCGCAAGTCTGCATATTTTTGGTGCTCTTCACGAACTTTTACGCCAGAAGCTACGGTCGCCAGAAGAGGATCGACTGAGACAGCAGTTATTTACCGGGTTCTCAGAATTTTCTGTATCCTCGTCGCGTTCGCGTCGGCAACAATGGGGAATTAGGAAAAGAGTGAGGCTAAAAAGAAGCTTCACGTCATATGGTGTCAAAATCTATAGCGTCCATGAATGATTGTTCTCTTCCGTTAAGTTCGCCAATACTAGAAGGAAGACCAGCGCCGTTTCTCGTGTTTCTGTTCGAGACTAAATATTTCGGAAATAAATAAATGAATGGCTTGACGTCACAGATGAATCGACTCCGGCGAAACTCTCGCCCCGCAGGGGCTAGGAGTTGGGTCTCTAAACCAACCAGGCGTGGAATTTGAGGAAGGGACCTCATGATTAGCATGATCTCATTCATGCTTCTTGCGCAATATCCTTTCGAAATAGCGGAAAAGTGCTGTTTCCGGCGGAGGAGCTCGACATTGCCGTCCGGATCGCCTCTTGTTTCCAGTACTGCTGCGGGTCGAGGAGATATACTTCCGATGGAACCTGCAGCCATCAAAGGACAATTTATTGTCAAGAAGGCGATGATTTCTCCATGGGAGCACTCGATGTTCATCGATGCGATGGGCAGAGCTACGCATTGTGGGGGAGGATCCAACCGAGTTCATTCTCCCTTCTTAGTATCACACGGTAGTTTTTTTAATCGTCCAAGTCGGTGGAAGATTCTGTAGTCGCTGGCGAGCCATCGTTTTGAACAAGCGGAAGCTATACCGCTCCGGATGGAGCCGCGGAGGAAAAATAAAACCATTCTCTCAAGATTGGAATGACCCATTCGCCGATTCTCACATCCTGGACGCTGTGTCGTCGGCGTAGGAACGACATCAACATTACCAACAAATCGGCATCTCCGGGGCGACTTCAAGACGGGACTCTCTTTCACATTCTCGATCATACGTTCGTGGCATCGACAAGCATTAGCGGGCAGTCTCTCCTACCCTTTTCTTCTATAAGAGCTCCAATATTCTAGAAGATCGCATTTCCGAAGTGTCGATCGAACTTTCTCCTTGCATTGTGAAGTTCCCCAGGTCGAGGACACCGCGAGTTGACGAGGGGGATTGCTCGCTCCTCATCGGAACCATGGAGCTCATGGGGCTGTTCCCTCGGAGCGCGGAATTCTCTTCAGTGTTCTGGGACTATCCGTCCATTATCCTGAGTGTGATAATTCTCTATCTGTGGTTCGTTCTGAGTGCTGGACCGAAATGGATGGCGAACCGTCCACCCTATCAGCTCAGAACGGCCACACGCCTGTTCAATTTATTCCAAGTGATCGCTAACGTCTGGTTCTCGTACAACATGATCGGCCTGGTCGTCAGAAATCACCACTTGGGCTTATTCTCTTTGGGATGCAACCCTCCTCTTACCGACCGGCTCATTCTGGCCACCGAGAGCGACACGAACCTTGCTCATACGATTGGCATCGTGTACTTCAATGTGCGGGTGCTGGATTTTCTCGACACGGTGCTCTTCGTCCTGACCAAAAAAATGTCCCACGTTTCGTTCCTCCACGTATACCATCACGTAATCGTTGTGCTGACAGCCTACGTCTACCTGCGTTCGGGATGGATGCCTTCAATCTACTATTGTGTGCTCCTAAATTCCATGGTTCACATTGCGATGTACTCCTACTATTTCCTCTCGACCTTCCCGGCGATGAAACCCTATCTCTGGTGGAAACACTATCTGACAGGACTTCAGATGGCGCAATTCTCCGTACTTCTCCTCCAATTCTTGTGGAATATAGTCTATAACTGTGGCTACCCGATTCTCGTACCCCAGTTTGTCTTCTCCCAAGCGGCAATATTCTTAGTGCTTTTCGGGAGGTTCTATCGCCAGAAATACGTTGCGAAAAAGCGAAGTGAGAATGTAGAGTCGAGTTGCATGAAGGCTGATTGAGCGGTTTTTCTCATGACGTATTTTCCAAATCTCAGATGAGCAGTATACCCCGTGCGATGATGATGTACATGCTAGACAATATACATGGTAGTCGCTCGCGTATGAAAGCGGACGCCCCCCGGGGACAAAACGAGCGAGAAGGTTCGAAAAAAGCTTTCTGTATCGATAAACCTGAAGAATGCAGCGCAAGGCATTATCGAGCGAAGTCGAATCGGTCCGAGATGCTTTCCGAAGATCAAACAGTTCCTGGCTATTACACTGCACACTGGCTGGTGTCTTCAAGAAATATTTGTGCAAAAGAAATGAATAAATTGTTCCCGGATTTATGAGGTAATCATTGCTCGGAAGGGGATCGCAGTAACGATGAAAAAGAATGAATTCGTCGACCCCCTAGGAGCTCCGATCCCTCGAAAGAAATGTTCGGTACTGGAAGTACTCTTAGCGTGGAATGGCACGCTCGAGCGAGAGCCCCTCGGAGTGCAATCATCAAAGGCTGTTACATCGCGATGGTGGCTTGGCTGACTCGATGCATCATCAGGTTACACCCGATGTCCCATGGATGGCGGAAATCTTCACAGCGGCATCTGGTCACGATATCGAGCATCATGAAGTCTGTTCTTCCAAATTGCTCGTCTGCTCTCAGAAATCTCAGTTCCCTCTAACATCTACTGGAAAAAATCATGAATATCCAGGTCTTATTATCGGAACTCAGTCTCCGTCACAAAAGGTAAGCTCCGTTAGTGACTAATGTGGAGATCTCAATCCAATGGAGATCTCATCATCTAATCATCAATCCAGGGGGGCCTCGACCGTCTTCGGGGCTCTTTTCGACTTTCTACTCCTCTCCGGTTGTTTTCATTCTCTCGGTCACCCCCTCAGTCGGGTCCTGTCAGCTCTACCGTGGCCTCCTTCTCCCTTCCCCTGCATCCGATCCTTCTCCCCGTTTTGCTCTCCTTCGCCCCTTCCCCTTCACTTCTCCAGCATTCCACTCATCCCATCTCCCTGACCCTCGACTCTTCGTTCTTCCCGTTTTCCTTTCCCTTAACCGCGATAATACCTGGCGCAATCTCGATCAAGCCGAGCGTGTTCGCTAGGGAGAGCTCGTTGATGTTTCCATTCGGCTTGGTCAGATGTAAAATTCACGTCTCTCAACATAAACTCGAAACTAGCATTTCCTGGGCAGCCGCAAATATGCATGGCGAATGTGGCGCACCTGCCGGCACTGGTTAGCGCCGGCAGAAACTGCGAACCGACGTTCATTCATGAACTCATTTGCCGCCGACGTGCAAATCTCAATTCCCCAAAATTAGTAAAGAGTATTAGCCCTACTTTCTTCCAGGCCTTTTGAGAGGATGTCTCCAACCGATGCATATTGTTCGTGAGTCTTATCTCCGCAGGAGAATGGGAGCAGATTCATGGGAATTCAGAAACAGGGAAAGAATGCGCAAATTGAAATTTTTCCAAGTAGCGTTTCGGGACTCTCGTTAATTGGGGCTGGACCGAGCTTTGGACTGACCGTGGCGCCTCCATCTGACTGAGTGAGAGTCAATCTACGGATCTTCGCATCATATTCATCCTCCCGGAACATACCCAGGGATATGATTCTCCTCAATGCCTCATCTGCAGCTCATCACGATCGGAACTCGTTGATATTGTACATGAATAGAGGCTTTGATCGGTATGAGTCGCGGCTCTCCAGGAAACGATCGAGTCAATGAAGGAAAGAATGCTCGACCGGGCGGATAGCGTTTCTCTCAAGGCAGATTCTGCCATTGTGATCTCCGTCCCGTCACTGGGGGGGGAACTTTTTCCGGAACAACAATCGAGAACGATACGATTCCAATGCCGGCTTGTTCCCCCAATAAGAATAGCGAATCACGGCTATCACAGCTATTCCGATTTGGAATTGATGAAACTTTCGGAACGACGTGATCCTAATGTGAAGCTCACACCCCTCCAGTCGTGAGGAGCGGGATGCCCTGCCAGAGATTCCCGAGCATGTCTGAATATATGCTCAGGTGTCTCCGGTGGGGCTACGGAAGGATCCGAGAAGCGCTCCTGGACAGGATCTGAGGTATGACTGAGGAAGACACTTAGAAAGCTTGTCGGACATCTTACCGATGCGAAGCATCATCGGAGAGGTCGCCAAACCCTGGGCCATAATTTTCATCGATGAGAACAGCGTCCGGGAAATTGACGAGACAGTAGACGTCCCGAGCTTCGATCACGGAGACGATGTCAGCGAGATCAAGCAAAACGTTTTTCGCGGTATGAGACGTGAGTATTTCTCTGTGAGCTCGGTTTTGATATGTGCAGTGAAATTGAAGTTGGTTGTTCTACGATCAACGATGCAGCCCCTGCCGATCATCTCTTCCGTCCACGCCACCAACTTTCAGAGATCCGGCAAGCCGACTCAAGGTCCGATAGTATGAAATAGCGCCGTTCTTAACGAGGGTAGAAGAACATGACTGGGCGATGTGACAGCGGTGGGAAACGCTTTGAATTACGGTTCCGTTTCCGCTACTCCAATGCGTCAATGTACTAATCAATCCGAATTCAAATTAGGGCGCCAGGTAATACCGAGAACACCAAGTTCTGCGAGCAGGGCTGCTCTCGGGACTCACGATGCGAGCTCACCGTGGTGTGCACGTCCCAGAACTACGAGCTTCTGGGGGCGGTGAGACGCTAGGCGTCTGAACCACTGATTCTGGGATCGTGAAACCGATCACAACGCACAGGGAAAGTGAGCAGTGACCCGAACGAAGAGCTTTTTGGCAGGCAATGCAGTAGACTTCTGTAAGGAAGGAATCGAGGGAAGGACTACCGATAGCTCCCTCAAAATACTGGCGGAGCTCACGCGGCTCATCGCCCGCCAGAATTCGTGCATTCGGCTACCCTGTGCAGCCCCCACTAACGTCCACGGCGACCGGGTCCCAGATGCTGGGACAGGCCATTTTTGAATGTGTCCGAAACTTCTGCGATGTTAAGTATCCGAGGGTTCGCTCCATCAGTATCGGACCAGTTGGGGCCAGGAGATGTCCGTGACGCTCTGCAGTTTGCGAAGATGTGAGTGAGTTTTGCCACGGCTCCGGCACCTTCCCGTACGTCGTTCAAAACTTCTTTCCCGGGGTTTCGACCCTGATCCGGATGAGCGTTTATCGGAGTCTCGTCTCGTCCCTTCGTATGTGATTCCTCATTGTCAGAATAGCCCACGGCGGGATCCACGCCCACTCACTCCCCAGGACGATGCCGTGAGATGGATCCTCGACACAATTTTTTCCTCCTTCCTTTTTCCCCTACAATCTCTCCGCCCGCGCACGTCAGTTCACTCACGGATGCTCTTTCCGAAAATATTTATTAGACAAACTCTGATCAGCGAAGCTCATTCACCCAACGAAGCCGTCCGTTTCGTAGCCTCGGAGTCCCATAAGATCTCGAAATCGACTCCGAGCCATGGAGTCTTTGTTCTCACCTCCCCGCAGCGACCAATTCAAAGGTGTCCTGTGGGATAACCCATCCATCATTTTGAGCATTACTGCGCTGTATTTGTGGTTCGTTCTCAAGTTCGGTCCTCAATGGATGGAGAACCGTAAAGCTTACCGGCTGAAGCCCCTCACACGCTTGTTCAACGCGTGTCAAGTGCTCGCCAATGGATGGTTCACGTGCAACTTGACCATTATTGCTGTGAGGAACTTTCCCGAAGGTTACTTCTCTTTCGGATGCAATCCCCCAACAACTGTGAAACCCCCAGCGAGCAACGAGGAGGACATAAAGATGATCGGGAAACTCTTCACCCTCTACTTCTATGTGCGCACAGTCGATTATCTCGACACAGTGTTCTTTGTGCTGACGAAGAAACAGTCTCATGTGTCCTTCCTCCACGTTTATCATCATGTCATCGTCGTAGTTTCTTCGTACATCTACTTACGCTCAGGCTGGGTTCCTAGCATCTTCCATTTGTCGATTCTCAATGCGAGCATACACATCATCATGTATTCTTACTACTTCCTGTCAACTTTCCCGATTCTTCGGCCGTACCTCTGGTGGAAGAAGTACATGACCTGTATGCAGATACTGCAGTTCCTCTTCCTGACCATGCAGCTGTCCTGGGCTGCAATGCAAGACTGTGGGTACCCTCCGTTGGTGAATCAATATGTTGCGATGCAGACTACGATCTTTTTCGTGCTCTTCGCGAGATTCTATTTCAAAAACTATAAACCATCGAAGGGAGAAACCTGTGCTAGAATGACGGAATGATGCATTCGACGAAGATCCAAAACTTCCTCCGGTCCACGGAGCTGTCGATCTCGCGGTGGATGGTCTGCGGCATCCCAAGATCCTCGCAGAGACAAGCGTGATGTGTTCGTCCGGTAGACAGGAAATTTCGAAAAGTACGTGCATACATCGTATAATCGGGAATCGGGAGGGAAGTTTCCGAAGAGGTACCCAGTAGGTGACGGTTCACCATTCCCGGTAGAGCGGGGGCAAGACTGGGATCTAGCGTAGAAAAATTTAAATTAATGATCCGCGGAATCCTCCGCTATATACAATATTGACGAGTCGAGCCCTTGATGACGACAGAGTTCCGAAAGAAAATGACAATCGCTAAACTGAGCCCGAAATTCCGAGAAGACATTCTTCGAGCCAATCGGGGAAGCGGTTCTCGCGCAATGGAGATTACCTACTAGATGAAGTTCGCATCGCCCAAATATGTAGATAAGCCTCACCCACTGTAATAAATAATAAATAATAACTAAATGTCCAAATATCGGAGCTGGCCCGTTGATTACAAGACCATTAGAGAATAATATATAGGTAAAAAGATCCAGTGCCGATGGCGCAAGTCTTTGTTTGCCAAGGAATTACCGGTGCAACGAAGCTCGCGTCTCGCTAGAACCCGATAGGAAACATTTTGTTCGATTGTCTCAGAATGCGACCGATGATATCCCGAACTGCTGGGGGGAAAATTGTGATCTCGGAGCCGGATGGCAGGCTCGAATAGAATCGGTTCGGCGAGGGAAGTGTTCGATACGCCTAGATTGGCCCGATGCGCCATAGGATAGCAACATGATAGGTACTGTCTCGTACTCATCCGTTATGTGTCTGTCCATATCGGAACAGATCCGCGCCAAGCGATATTCGAATTTTCCAGATCGGGAGGCAAAATTAACATTCAGGGATCGTGTAGACAGAATTCTCTCGGGATCGACCACCATCCCGACTTCCCTGTGGTGAGTCGGGCAGTCCGGTACATTTTCCTCGATAATCACATTTCGCTCGCACCCTGTGCCAGACGTGACTCGTGACTCCCGGAGCCTGATAGCTTCGTATTCTATTTGTAGCCTTCTTTGCCCTGGAACTTTTCTCCGCAGGAGTCTGGGGAGACATGGGGAACGATCATGTCTAGGTCCATGCTCGATCCCTGGCGAAGTTCTGAGAGATTGGAGCAAGACTCCCGCTGGGAAAAACCGCCCCAATGAATTTTCTCACCCTCGACAATCATCCTCCACTCCCGACAGACTTCCCCGGAAACTGCCGATACCGATCTCAAAACCCAGCTTAGATATTATGAACCGAACGAACATAGAACTTTTTCACTCCATTCACTATCGGCCCGAGAAGGAACCGATGCTGCGTTTCGATAAATCGACAATCGGCTGTTACACCGTCGGGTATTTCCTCGTCCGAAGGAAAACATTCAGCCTCGCTAGAGGCTCCGCTAGACACTACTGGCGGGTCTCATCGTCGGATGATGCCGTGTCTTTTACGTTATGTTACCGACTCCTCATTTCGCATGTGATAGATCAGAGCTCGGAAAACAGCGCGCGCAGGATCCGCCGCCGACGCGGGGTCTCTCAAGCTCAAAGGTCTACGTGCGTCGAAGTCCCTATACTGCCTCCGAGCGCGCAATAAGTCAGCGACTGACCGGTACAGCACTTGAAACGACAACCTCTGCTGAGGACTGAGCTATCCGACGCAGATTTTTTTACGTCGTAGACGTCACATAGCTCTCAGCTTCAGCGAAAATCGTCACGGAGAGGGTAAGCAGTACGGAACGCAATCAGCCAACCAGAGACCGGCGAAGAGAGTGTCGCCTGGGAGAGAAGGAGCGCTGGCAGCACAGAGCAGCATAGAGCGCAGCTCCACAAAGCGCAGGCCGCGTAGGCTCTCGAACACATTAATCAGAGATGATTAGTAACACATTCGTCGCGGGCTCGGAACCGACTGCGAGAAGGACGATTCGAGAGAGGAGGTGACTGTTTTGGCTCAACAGTCAAGCCAAAGAGGAGATTGTTGTGCGGGGATACGAGGTGAGGGAAAGCCTACCCTGAAGGTACCTCGCGCCGAATTGCAATGACGGCAGATATCGGGGAGGCTTTTCCATGGTATGAAATCACGAAAAGCGATCCGACAGTTCTGCGCTTCGGGAGGCCATTGGGAATCTTGCTTGACTAGGCGACACCCGACAGAAGGATATGGTTTTGAACCATAGTTGTCATGCGTGTTCTGATCTGGTCGTCGTCCTCGCATATCAGAGGTGATTGACACCACCTGCAGGCACGCGGGAATACATTTCCAAAGCATGCTAAATTACTGAAGGAGATGTAAGAAGACTCATACATAGACGATGACATATTCACGGCAGACAGCGCCACGCTGAGCAATGAACAATCGAAGAATCAGGAGATTGTACCGCATGTGACCGAGCGCTTGTGATCTCAAGAGGAGAAAACACGACAGTCAAGCCAGAAGAGAGAAGGTGGTGGGCTAGTAGTGATACATGAGCTGATTTGCGGTCAGCTCTGTAAAAAGTCATATGATCTCTCATTGATCAGTAGCGTCACGGGTCGCACTTCAGTGGAACCCGATATAGAGTGTTTTCCATCCTAATATGGGCGGAAATATAACGATGTCACAGCGAGAGGAAGAAAAACTGGCGTCTTCGACGCAAACATAGATTTGGTCCCCGGCCGAACAGCCTTAAATTTCTTTCCTATCGTCGATATTCTCCCGGGAGTCCTTCCCCTCCTGATGGATCCCTCGCAGCGACGAAGAACGTAGGAATACGAGTGTGCGTGCTCTGCCTCGCGGAAGCGTTCCCGGGTGGATCACGAACCTCGGACGGCCTTCGCTTCCTCGCGAACTTCCGCCCGGTTCTACGATTCCACAGATTTCGAAGTCAATCTCTGCAGCTGCGGTCCACTGTAGCGCTACCCTCGACGATTCCCACGAGAGCCCCCGCCACAGGTCCTCCGACTATCCTGAGCTTAGCCCACAATCAACGTACGGGCTCTGTCAGCTGCGTATTGCCGGCACCGGAATGAAGCCGCGCATTGACGGAGTCGTAATCCGCGAGGCCGATAACTTGGCGATCGAGCCGCGTCTTGCAATACACATTTCCCTTGCGAGAAATCCGTGATATGATTCTGCTACATAGAACCATGAAAGGGAAATTAGTCGGAATCACTTCGTAGCAAATTAATCGCGCATGCTGGATTCCGTTGGAGACCAATGCTCGAGCCGAAAGAGCAATGCTTGATCCGGGTCCTAGCAGCCAACTCCTGGGCTCCAAGATCAGGAGCGAATCGGACGTGAGCCGTGGCGGAATGTAGACTTGAGTCACCGTGCATGCAGAGGCTTCACCCTCTTCAGGAATGACGTAAGGAATCCCATTGAGAGTTTCAGAAGAGAGAGAGGAAACTAAGTGACTTTTCCTGGAAGGTTTCTCTCAAGCTCGCTCGTGCTCGGCGACACTTTCTCTGTGCCACAATCCAGAAATCGGCTCGGTGAGGATTCTCGGACTCTCCGCGACCGTCGATTCTAATGGATATATTGTGGATGCTGCCGCGCGATGATCGATATGTAGGACTCGTCTGGGACAATCCTCATGTCATCCTCTGCATCCTGGTCGTGTACCTCTGGTTCGTCCTCAAAGCGGGTCCATCATGGATGTCGGACCGAAAACCGATGAACCTAAAACCCGTCGTGCGCGTTTTCAATCTGTCGCAAGTGATAGCGAACGTTTGGTTCTCGTACCGCGCCATAACCATCGCCTATCGCCACTACGACGAGGGTCATTTTTCCTTCGGATGCAATCCACCGACATCCAGAGATGATCTGAATAGTAAAGAAGACTCGGAAATGCTCGTTTTCTGTGGACTAGCTTACTTCTGGGTGCGAGTCCTCGACCTCCTGGATACAGTGTTCTTCGTTCTGGCGAAGAAACAGTCCCACGTCTCGTTCCTTCACGTGTACCATCACGTTGTCGTGGTGTTGACATTCTACATCTATTTGCGATCGGGATGGTCACCGAGCTTGTTCTACGTCGGGGTGCTCAACTCAATCATCCACATCGTCATGTACTCGTACTACTTTCTCTCAACGTTCCCCGGATTACGGTCGTACCTCTGGTGGAAGAGGTACCTGACAGCGATGCAGATCATGCAATTCTGCATCATCGCCTTGCAACTCTCATGGAACACGGTCTTCAATTGTGGATACCCGGCTGTCGTATGTCAGTACAATCTCATGCAAGCCCTCATCTTCCTTGGCCTCTTCACTAAATTTTATGTGGATAGCTATAAACATGGGAGAAAATCGCTTTAGAAACCGCCTGGATCTCGTATTGGAGCGGTAACCGAATAACTCGTTCGCCGAGCTATCGGAGACCGTCCTCGTAACGAACATGCTGGTCTTGAGAGTGAGTTCATAGCTCGGCTCATGAATGCCGCATGTTGGAGAATAAATCGAGAGCTCAAGGCTGATCATCTGCGTTTGTTCTCTCTAAAAGTGGCGTCATTGCTCTTCTTCCCCGGCTTGTCCTATAGAATAGGAGAGGACTTTCTCCTGGATCCGGCTCGCGCGGGAAATTTCTGAGTCGCATCGGGCTGCTGACGGAATAAGTGAACCGGAGATGATCGTGCTTTAGTTTGATGGTTGAAACGGAAAACAGGAAAAGAGACAATCTGATTGTGAGCAAAGTTTAGTCGAGTCGCAATGACGCTCGCCTCGCTGGCGGACGTCGGTCCCGTGCGGTTGGTCTCGATTGCGGTGTCAGCGGTTTCTGCCATCTGAATGCTTTTGAGCCATTTACCACAAATGAGATCAAGCGTCAAGCGTCATGAGAACAAAGGGCTCCGACGTGTACGGCGAAATCGGGGGACTGAAAGATGAAGCTGCTCAAAATCCGCGTGATAGGAGCCTTCGTGGTATCGGCGCCTGAGGCCCAATTCAATATCCCACGCTTCTCGGAGCAGAGCCTACAATTTCGCGAAGCACAACTTTGTCTAAACCAGCAATGCCCGCCACAATGCGAGCCGGCGACTTTGTCACAGTCGGTACAGAAATGGCGAGTCGTTCTGGTCAGCTGGTAAGCTGTATCACCGCGTAATCTGTTCTTCCCTAAGCGAGTTTGATCGTCAGGATTTCGACCTCTCATGCTCAGGCTTGTAATTTACAAACCAGGATCTCCTCGAGTCTTCAGGGATCAGTCTTGGCAATCAAACCCTCATGAAGGGCTTAGCGAGGCACTCTTGTTTCAGATGGGGCGCGAGCCATGGTCACCCCCCCCCCCTATAGAATAAAAGCGCAAGCGCTTCGTTTGTGAGCCGTTTTTCGGCTCTTTCTCCCCACCAGTTTCCGCGCTTATGTGCATCCGCGGCTGCGGAATCATGCCCCGGTGTGCAAGTTGATGTTTTCTCCCTCATCTTCCACCCCTCCGCCCAGTGATTGTCGAAAAACCCTCTTCTTGACCTCTGAACTCATATGGGACTTTGTGGTACCGAGGTACGCTGTCCTTCTATTGCGGTTCGAAAGGCACGGATTTGATTCTGTAGAGCGGATATCTTTCTATTCATGCGTGGTCGTTGATCGCGGCATCGAGGCTGGTGGTTGATAAAGCGGAAGGTGATCTTTTCATACCGGAGAGAATACTAACGAGGCTGCGCATTCTGTCAGTGCCTTGAGAAAAGCTTCCAGATATGAGTTGACTAGATGTTGTGCCTTTCGTCCGCGCGTCATCAGCCGCCTGCGGGGACGTTGTCCGAAGCTCGATGAGAGCCGTCGGCAGGGATCACGCTCATCATCGCCGGATCCTCAGGGTCAGACTCGAAGAACACACGAATAAATATAAATCAACGCTCCCGGAACTCGGTTCTCCTCACAATGAATAGGATCTCGAGATCCTTTCATCGAAGAGATAGTATTCGCTGAGGGTACTATGGAGGTCCCGCCGTTTGGTTTGCTAGTTCGTTGGACGTTGACATTCCGATAGCAGAAGTCTCGCTAGCGGCGACCGGCGACGAACGCAGGCCGCCGCCGCCGCACTACTCTTGTTCCAATCGCATGCCCGCGTTTTGCGCTTGCTGGGCACCCGATACTGGAAACTCGGAACTATCTGTCGGATAGGTGAGCAGTGAAGTTACGAACCAGGGAAGAAAGACCAATGTCTTCCGGTCTCATACGAGAGCCGCGAAGCACGTCGCCGCCGGAGCACGTGAGGCCGGGCCGTACTGCAGCGCGGCATGTGAGAACAGCTGATCGAGCATCCCATCTAGCGATCGAGCTTGTGTAAAGAGAAACAGTTCGGCCCATCGGCTGATCGGCAGTTCGCACCGCGGACACTCAGTTGATTGGCGTGTATCCCCTCACAATTCCCTAGAAATCATCCTAATCGACGGAAATTCCCTGTCAGATGACGCGGAGCCCGAAATCACGCGGCAAGAACGAACATCCGGGGAGTAAGAGCAACCCTGAGAATGGATCTCACAACGCCAGCAAGAAAGAGGATAAAAGTGAGTAAATCGGGAGCTATCTCTCCTCGTCGGAATGAATTTCCAAGAATTTTATCGGAGATCTCAATGAAAACATTGAGTGGCTTTGGAAATTGCAGGGGTAGAGGCTCTAGAAGAAGCAGAGCTCTGCCAGTGGTTGGAGTTCGCGGCGGATGTGGCGAATAGGAAAAATCTCACTGATGACCAGTTGATGATTTACCTTCGATTCCTCGATAATGCCCTGGCTACCCGAGCATTCGTCACAGGACCTCGATCGACGACCGCCGATACGACACTCTACGCTGCTCTCCGCGATGTTGTCGTGAGTTTCCCGCACACAGCCGTGAGATTGATCCGACTTTGCCTTGGGAAGCCGAGTTTCTGATTCCGAGCCCGGGATATTCGCTAAACACCTCCGTATTTTTCAGAGTAAATTGAGTTTCCCTGATAAGGAACGCGTTCCGCGTGTCGGTCGTTGGTTCAGTCACGTAAGTTCATCCTCTTCTGTCTAAACTTGCAGGCGCCCGCGGATCCGAGTCTCTTCTCCCCATCCTCAAGAAGTTTTCTCTTTTGCAGCTGCAAAGTCTGAAAGGCCCGAAAAGCGCTGGAGTGATATTCAGCCTTACCCCCCTGTACTGAGAGACATCCATTTTCAACGCGGTTCTCATTATACAACGATGGCGTCGAGATCGACCACATGGCAGCCCTGATATTTTCTCATCTCGACTCCAGGAGCCCCGCTCGAACGCTCGAGCAAGCCTGGGTTCGCTCGGATACTGTGATATGGAGGCGCGCCCAGGAAATCAAGGGAGAAGGTTCCGCCTAATATAAACGAGGAGTCCGCTTAAACATTCAGAATCCGAAACATATTCTCTTCGTTTCCTGAGCGGAAGTTCTGATCTCGAGTTTATCGGGGGATTCGCCGGCGTAGATCTGAAATCCGTAGAGACTCCGGAAAATTGCTCCGGGTATACAATACCGTGTCAGCGATCCAAGCTAGGAAGGAGGAAGCATGTCACGGTAGCATGTCATGCCGTGTGATATCGCGGCTTATGTCCTGTGTCAAACCATCAGGGAACAAAAAGATATCGACGAAAACTCGTACTTTGTCTGACACTCCATCCGGGGAGGAATTGCGCCGCGGTGTAAAGCGGTAAACCAGGTGAATCCCGTCATCCCTTTAGTCCGGACTCTCCGGACAGGGTCAGCTCGATGCCGGACGAGCTCGTTCATCCTCGACACTGAGAAGGGGCTCTCGACTGCTGCATCAGTTAAGAAAGACATTACATGATGAGAGATTCATCACAGAGAGCCTTATACAATCTTCATTAGGAATGGTCATTCCGCAATTTACAATCACTGATGCGACGTGGTCGACTTAGGAACATCGTGTATATGTAGCACGATGTGCATGCGAAAAATATCGCGAACAGAAATAGCCTGCAGCAGCGGAGCCTCCACCGAGGCTTCTCCTAGAAATGAAAGTCGAGTATAGTCCCCGATAGCTTCCGAGGTAGAGCGTAGAGGATGAACGACGAGAATATCTGGTTCAGTACCTTCATTTGGGTTTCGATCCGATGGGAGTCCGCATATCCTGCCGATGAATTGAACCCGGCTACCTCTTTTCCTCCTCTCTTCGACGTATCTAGGTTCCTGGGTGGTTGTCGGAGTGTCGATCCGGATGACTTCTTTCTGCTAGGAGTCCTCCTTCCCGGGCGACGTCTGGCCGCAAATTCTGACACAATCTCTTTCTTGGTCACGCCCGGCTGGAATTATTGATTATTATCATTGTCTTGTTCTTTAGAGTTCTTCAAGCTCGATCGATGCCCTCTTGGCAGGGTGATAGAGCCGAAAATCAGTTCCGCCATTCAATTCGATTCGTCAGAGCGCGAAATGCCGGCGAGCAAGTGACGCACCGGGCTGAGCCTTCCCGGAAATATCTTCAGACTTCAGCGTTCTTCCGAATGAGGGAATTTTCGCGCAGTAAAAATACTCACGCGAGGTCGTCTCAGGTAATGCTCAATCGCTGCAGGACAGTCTGCCAGAATGATTTGCTCCGGAACCCAGTTGGCTTGTCGAACACTGATGTTTTTCCACTGTACTAGATACTCGACTCCTCCTTTCCGCTGACGATGCGCGTGGATGATCTCGAGCTGGAATTTCGAGATCGATAACACGTGGAAGCTCTTCATTATCACGAAGGAATTCACGATAGCTGGAATATTATCGAGAGTGAACAACGAAAAACAATCACCACATAACGTTGATCCGGCTCCGCTGGGGAGAAGGGGCAATTAGGAACAGATGGCCAATTAGGAACAGACAAGGCCGAGACTACAAGAGGCTCGCTATGTATTGTGTATACGGAAGAGCCCACCTGTAGGAGCATTCCCGCGGCTGAGCATTTCCTAGATTTTCTCGCATACAATAACGGATGACGTAGAATCATGCGCATTCGAGCCAATCATAGCACAAACGCACTGGATTGGTCGGCCCAATGCTCTCCGGTTATCCAGCCGCCCACTCTCCCTAAGTCAACGTATGCGCGAGAACATTCGGTTTAGAAATCAAAACCACCCCTCGGCTGGAACGAGCAGACCAAAATATGAAGCTGTTGAGAGGGTTGGATTGCGGAAGACTCCTGAGGGGAATCTGCCGGGGGAAAATGATTATCGCTCCTCATTTTCTACAGTCGACACGTGGATTTCGGAGGAACGTCATCGCGTCCCGGGTTCCGGACAATGGACCGCTCCAGCTTCCCGCGGCAGTTTCGAAAGTTCACGAATTTCACAAAAGTGATTCACTTTAATTCACGAAACTCCCCGTCCCGCAATGCCTCGTCGAACCGATCTACTCAAGCTGTGCTCCTTGCATGGGTCGAGAATGTCGTTGTGAATGCTCTCCTCTCTTCTGTCCCACCATCAATCTTTCGTTTCCACCGATCCGATATCGTTGGCTTTTTTGCGCCCGCGCCCCTACCCGGCACCCCTTACATTGACTCTTTCTCCATGCCAACTCGCCGATTGAAGAATGACGTATTTACCGTCCGGGACCATCGAAGAGTCGGGTGAAATTCGAAACGTGCGCCTCACTCCCCTCGGTGTCCGTGTATGCTGCGTGCCAGACCCCCATCCCTTCTACCCGTAGATACGATAGAAGACAACGAGATACCGCAGGTGACGGAGGAGGAGTTCAGGTCGGCTGGACGCTGGACCTTATTATGGGCGGACTCAAAATTTCCAAGGATAGTTCGCGTCATGAGGCAATCGTCGCTAATCCTCGGCATCGGTCAAAGGATTCGGTGGGAGATGGCAGGATGCTCGGGAGGAGAAAAACAGGAGTCTGTCAGAAGTCAGAACCCCGCTGGAGGACCTCTCAAGGGCGTCGCGTCCAAGAGACTCCGGGAGAGGCTGAAGCTCTAAGTATAGACATTGAAGACATGGTCGAGCGAAGTGATCGATGCCAGCAGGCTCACTGAATGCCGGGGAAATTTGCTCTGGAGCTGCAGCCCAATAATGGAAAGTCATGGAGGTGGGTCCGGGAGGAGTCTGCCTTGACTCAAGAAGGCTTGTAGGTACTCCTTATTCGTAGAAGTCCTTTTCTGAGAGGCTAAGTTGCTGAGCACGATTCGAATCACGGCGGGTATTCCGGAAATTCGGTGGGGGAGGGAGTACATCGGCAGAGAAGATCATCACCCCTCCGAGAACGACACGGAGTGCTCCGAAGCGGCTCATCTGTGACTGGTTGTCAAGTGAACTACTGATTGATGAAAATCGAGTCTCGGGTGGACGAGTTCTCTCAGGAGGTTCCTTGAAGATCAGAGTCAACATGGAGAGAACCAATGAGAGGGATCCCGGAGAGGGCTGCAGGGAAGCCGATCCTGGCTGAATCGGACGGCCGTACGAGACTCTGACACGGAACGCAAACGAAAACTTGGAGAAAAAGCAGAATTCACTCGATTCCTCGATGGTCAAGAGTTTTCTGAGACTGTATATCGGTCTGGATTCAGCATGGCCAGAGGCAAAGAAAGAGCCGCTAGGAAGGGGAGCAGAGGGGTTCTTCTCTTCCTTCATTTTTTCCCCCGATTCTCCTGTGGTTATTCGAGGAGAGTCAGTTCGTGACGTGAGAGGTTCGCCTTGCGGATTGCTTGGAGTCCGGCTGTTCCACTGAATACCCGAATGGGGCTTTCGAAACGATAGCTCGATCTTTTTGCGGAGAGACTCATGCTGAAACCTGGTTGTACGATTTATGTTGAGTGAGAATTCCCCGATTATCCTTGTCCCCGATCCGAGTGCACCGTGTCTGAAGATGGTGGGGTCAAGCGGGCGCGGACCGGAGTTTTCCTGGCCCAACAGATCATCTGGTATCTACTTTTGTGTTATGACGTTGTGCCGGCTTGTCGGTTTTCGCAGCAGACTGCCGAGTCTCCCGCCTCCATACGTGCTTGCTCGACAATTCAGTAATGGAGACCGCTTCAACGAACATTTTTTCCGAAGCACCCTCCGCTAATTTAAGAGCGATCTTATTTTTTTTCGCTTTTATTTGGAATCGTTGCGGGTCCCGCGGCATTCACCCTGTGAACTCGTCACTGACACAGGAATTATAACAGAAAGAAAACTCTGATGTGTGGAAAAGGCAGCGTACTCCTCAATTAATTTTCGAAAGCTCTTATAGCCACATTATCTAATCGGTTCAGCTAGCGTGCGCCTCATGGGTCTTTTTCTCGGTTCATGCGTCGTTGTGCCTCTTCGCATGATTTTTGATTGAGCTCAAGTGCGAGAATCTTCTCCCGCACTCGTCACAAGCGTAGGGTTTCTCACCTGTGTGCACCCTGATGTGAGTAGTCAGAGCGCTCTTCTGTGAAAATTTCTTTCCACACTCGTCGCAAGCGTAGGGTTTCTCACCTGTGTGCACCCTTATGTGAGTAGTCAGAGCGGTCTTTTGTATAAATCTTTTTCCGCATTCCTCGCAAGCGTGGGGTTTTTTGCTCGTGTAAGTTCTCGTGTGAACCCGTGGAATACTGGACTTCAAAACTGTTCTGCCGCACTCCTCGCCTCCACTCCTGGGTTTCGTGCTGGTGCGCTTTCTTTCATTATTACTGAGAATCCTCGTCTCAGAGATCTCGTCTCTGACTCCCCCACAATTCTGAGATTCTGCGTCAGAGTGTTTTTTCGCATGAGCGACCAGAGCTCTTCTGCTGGCGAAACTCATATCGCATTCCTCGCACGCGTACGGTTTTTCAACGGTGTGTGATCTGGTGTGCTGAAGGAGCGAACTTCTCTGTCTGAATCCCTTTTGGCAATAGTCGCAAAAAAACGGTTTCTCGCCGGTGTGGCGCCTCACATGAGCATTGAGAGTGCCTTTTTGCGAGAATTTCGTGCCGCATTCCTCGCAAGCATACGGTTTCTCTCCAGTATGAGTACGCGAATGGACTGTGAGCGTAGATCTGTTTTTGAAGGCGGCAGAGCACTCCCAGCACGAGAAAGGCCTCTCTCCGGAGTGAATGCGACGATGTTTGATAAGGTACGATCTCGTGGTGAAAGAAGCAGCACAAACGGTACATTTGTGACTCCTCGCGTTGTGAATGCCTTTGTGAACCTTCATTTCTGTCGCAGTGACGAACATTTTCGAGCACTCCGGACACGAGAATCGTCTAACACCGTCGTGACGCTCCAGATGCACCCGAAGAGAATTCATGGTTGCCAAAATCTTGTCGCAGTAGGGACGCGGACAGTCGTAGGTTCCGGCGCCCATACCCATCGAAGTGTTCCTCAACGGTGAAAGCTCTCACAACAGATGGAGGGTAATTCTTCGGAATCTCGGGACGAGATCTCTATTATTATTTACTCCGGAAGACTTCTCTGGCCGCTTGGGCCACTCTCCCCGCACCGCCGAATTCAAATTTGAATCCTTCCTCCGTGGAGCGCGTCACTATGAATCCTGGAGACTGCCATTCAGAAAGCGCCGGCCAAGAGTCTACGGTGGATCCGCCATCATTCATTCAGACGAGATTCCACTCAGATAAGAGGAGACTTCGTGTCGCGAGTCAGGAGTCCGGACCTTGCTCCGATAGTCAGATGCGCTCCACGTCTAGGTGGAAAAATTCCGGTTTGATTGCCCGAAAATTGAACAATTCTGCCCCCTGTTTCTCCGGGGTAGCAGATTCTAGGAGAGCCCGGGTCGCGCAAGTCGCTGGACGGGGAGTCGCTGGGGAACCGAGACGCTGCATTTCCTTGCAGGAAGTCCCAACGGTGAGTTGCTTCCCCGGCTGCACTTCCGAATCCTCAGAAATGCATGAGAGACTCTCGCAGAGTCGTCCGTTCCTCAATTAAGCTCTGATCTCTCAAATGCCATCCGTCGGTTCCCGACCCTCCCCCTCTCAATCGCTATTGGTAGATTGGGAGAGCTCAGTGAGAAGTCATTGAAAGGTATCTCATGGGTCAGTGAGGGACAGGCGGAGCTTCAACGAACAGTCACTCATCGGTGCCACTGACGAGTACTGCTTGAGAGAGGCCCATGGCTCCTAGCGAACCGTTGACCCCCGACTTCCTCCATCTGCAGACGTCTGTTTCATCGGATTGAATACGTTCCCACGACGGGGATCGGAACACTGGACTAGATCCTATGTTCTGGAACAGCCCCAGCCACTCCACCATGAGACTATGATTGCTCTAGGTCTAGTCGAGCTCAAGGTGTCGTCACATCTCCATACTCACTGGCGGGTGAGCGGGTACATTGCTCTCGAGGCACTGTCCTGAGTACCGATTTGCCTCTAGATAATTTTTCTTTATCGAAGCGACGAGTACCCGGAAAGGATTCATGCCAGCTCACGGGAATCCGAGTAATTCTCATGGAGGAAGCTTCCATAATCCCAACGGAGGGAGGCGGTTGCTCGAGAACAGGCCTCCTCAGTTCCCAGTCGATAGTGATGCGTCTCACACGACACATCGATTTGACTCCTGGAGATCGGTCAGAAGAGATGGCACTGATTTCATAGTGAAGATATTTATTCTTGAGCGCAGAACGCGGAGAGGATTGATGCTCGTAATATTTACTGATCGAGTGGGTCCTCCCTATAGCGTATCATCTCGAGTCTCGCTTCTCTCTGCTTCGATTGGACTCTTGATTTGTTTAGCGTAATGCGTGAGAAGATAACATGAGGGGCTCACACGAAAAAGCGGGTTCGATTAAGGTGTGGTATGATTGGCAATCTGCCCCGCTCTTCGTTTGTAGTTGAAGGCGAAGGAATAATGAGCGTTAGGCGGCAGAATTTCGGCGTTGATGATCGATTGCACAATCCACTGCATAGACACCGGGGCAACGTTCTGGGCGCGGGCCAATCTCAGGAGCCTGTTCGGACACTCCGATGTCGTGACCATGAAGCGTATGGTAGCCTGCGATTTACCAACTTGTCCCGGCTCGGAATCCGTGCTTTCTGTAAGCGAAAGGCAATTCTCTCATTCCCTGCGCACAATCACCATGGGGTATTGAGGAGCTCACGTTCTCAGCCAGACGATTCTCATAGCATCTTGACGAGACGTATTCATTCTTATGTTGATATGTTGATTCATTCACCAACCAATAAGTTCGTCTTCGACTCACTTGAAGAACTACACCGATCAGGAAGCTCATTAACGACTTGCCCTCCGGCTGCCCTGATCACTTGTGACCAATCCTTAACGAACTTCTTATGCTTGGACACGACAGCAATCGTCGTGTTCTGGAAGATGAGTCTTGGAACCGCTGGCTGCTCGATCGGAAGCTGAAATGAGAACTTATTGTCCAGCTTACAACCTCGAGCCTCCCGGAGCTCGACCCAGCTCTGGAGCGATTTGTCGGATCCGATCATGAGGTTGTAATGAATTTCCAGGAAGACTCACGTACCTTCCTTAAGGAAGAGATCCCGGCAGGCCATTGGTATTTCCTGGTGTCCGGCATGCTCCCTGTGCGGAGGGCGTCGTAAACTATTTGATGGCTCAAACATCGGATACCGGCAGCGAGACATAGCATGTACTTCAGTGTCTTCATGTGACTTCGGCAAAGCAGGAAGGTGCCCTTGTTGAGACGTCTAGAGGAATGAGCTTCAACGAAAGATGTGTACACCGTGCCGCCATTACTTTCTATGAGATCCTGCAGGGTTTCCTTATCCAAATCAACCGAATCCGCTGCGGAGCCTGCTCCTGAAGCAGGGAGTGCTCCCGATGCTTTCCGGGAATCCGTCAGGAGAAAACCTATACCCGCGAACACGAGCTTGTCGATGCTTGGGCGAGACTCCGCTGTTCCAGCACCACACCCGAGCGCCCCAGCACTGCATCCGGATGTTGCTGCAGCGGAATCTGAAGCTGCATCATCGCGTCGAGATGATCCGACGATGGATTCAGATCCGCCGACGGCAGCCTCAGATACCGAAACATCGCATGCAAGTTTTCCAGCAAAAAGTTCGAGAGCTCCAGCATTGCGATCAGGCGTTCCTACGGACTTTTGGCTCGTCCCGACATCGCAAACGGCTGCCGACGCTGCGGACGCTCGGCCGATGGACTCCGGCGATATTACGATGGGATGCTCGGTCCCGGACGTCCCCGGGTCATTCGCTAGGGAGGCTTCGATCTTCGCAGGTAAGCTCGCGAAACTCGATTCAGTCTCGTGCGTCCCTCCGATGCGGAAGGCGCACGTTCGGCTGCCCGGGATGAGGGAACCTGCGGAGCGCGAGAGGAAGAAAATATCCCTCATCTATTCACGTATGAAACGAGGGGCATTTTCAAAAGCGAACGAACTCACGCACCTGTGACGTAGGGAAGCCTGTCCCAGACGGGAGCAGGTCCCGGGCGGAGCGAAGCTCCTGAGTAGCTCCCTCTCGAAGAATTCACGATTTCTTGAGTGAGAGCTATTTTATCTCTCATGACGTGAACATCTCCTTTACCGGGCAGCTCGACTACATAACCGGGCCCTCCAGCTACGGTGGCTCTGCAGATCGTAGGGGTCATGGAAACTCAGATGCGGAAAGCGGGCCGCGAGCGGGGCAACGCAGAAAGTAGGCTCCGGGAAAATAATTATTCAGGGTACCCCAGAGACGTTGGGGAATGGATACCTTTGTCTGTCGACACCATGCCCGAATGCGTTTCTCATCAAAAGATGAACCGTTTGCGCCGTCCCGAGCTCGCCTCCCGGAGGAAGCACAACATCCTTCTGATCGATCGGGTTGAGAGTACCATCCGGAAACTTCACTGCACATGATCCGTCGAGGCGGAGTTCGCTCATAGTCGCGAGGTGGTAAAGCCCATCGGCCCGCATGGCGAGGCAGGGCGAATCCACGACCAGAGAAGGATTGACCACGGAGTCTGCCGTCCCTGAACCAGTGAACCTAGAATCGAAGCACAGGGATCGAGTGATGTCCGTTGTCTGGGATTACGCTTTTCGTCTGGAGTTCGTCAGTTCTCGAATTGATCTGGGGGATAGGATGATCTTACGTATCGGCGCCAGCGATCATCATGGCGGTCGAGCTGGTGTCTGCTGACCCTAGGGTTCGGGCAGGTTCTCCTAGCTTGTGGAGATTCTCCATCGCTAGCCTGAAGGCTTCGTCCGCGGCACAGATTCTCTCACGGAGGATCTCCATACTCTGCTTGAGTGAATCGAAGCTCGCTGTGGTCTGCATGACCATTCGCTGCGTCCATAGCGGCAATCCCCACTGAAAAGAAACCCGCCGATTCGTCCGCGTCAATACGTGTGCACATACGAGCATGCTCCGAGCCAGTAAAACTAGGGGCCATGTGGAAGGCGTCCCAAGCGTAAGCCAATCGTTCGGCTTACCTTGAGTGTCGGCAACGAATCCGCAACTTTAACATCGGTCACCCCCGTCATCGCTCCGCATATTTCTGCCCGAGATTCTTGCGCTCTCGTTTGTTCTCCGGAACCTCCCGTCTGCACTCTGTACACTGCGTTAGACTGCTCGAGCATATTGATACCTCCTTCGTTCATGTCTGTCTTGATCGAGATGTCCACTTTCGGATTCTTCGGCGGGACTCCTCTTCCCGAGTTCTTCCGCTTGCGATTGCAGCTGTTGCTCGCGAGATTTTCATCCACGATTTTCGATTTTGTCACTCCCGGCTGAAATCGTCGGAAATTCAGACAGACCCATCGTTCCCGATCGGATGCGTGAATTTGTCCATACGGCGAACGCCTCATCGGATACGTGAATTTGCCGATGAATTTGCCCGCCCCCCTCCCGGGGACGATTCCGCAGCAAGAATGAACCCGGGATAGCGTGGGTCCCTGTCGCCCACTTAGAGTGATTTGGGGCGGCTCCGCGCAGAATTTTACCATTCGACGATCGATGCTCAATTGCAATGCCCGGGATGCTCATGAATTGCTTACGCGTGGATCCCTGAGGTACGTTTCGACGATTTCGGGACAATCCTCTTCAAGGGTCTCCGCGGACGTCCAAGTCGCCTCTCGTATGGAGTATCCTTTCCATTCCACCAAGTACTCTCTTCCGTGCCTCCTATCTCGATGCGCGTGTATCCTCTCGACCTTTGCAGGAATCTGGTTAATGCTCAATGGTCGCAGTCTGCTTAGCACTCTGGAAGTTGAGCCGTCCAACATTCAGCTCGGCCTTCTCGATTGCTGGAATGGAGGAGCACTCACCTCGTACTCTGGTTCGGTCGATACGTCTGTA